CCCTGCCTTGTCCCCCCCGCCCAGCGGTTGCGAAGCCTCTGCCCGATCCCCTCCGCTTTGCACGAACAAGCAGCGACCTGCCCCGCGGGCTGGGAGAGGGCTGAAGCCGCCCGGGAATCACGCTGCAGCTGACAGTGTATTAATGATGTTGCCCGTTTCCTTTTTTTTTTTTAAGGATTTTGACACCACGCAACTGAAACGAAGAAGTCTCCACGTTCCGGAAGATGTCTTCAATAGACAAACCCCTGAGAGAAGGAATTACTGTATATTTGACCCATTTTGACACTTGATGAATGCCCCGTACTAAATGTATGTATTTTGCACGCTCGGGCCACTGGCAGCACTCGGTACTTGCCATGACGCAGTGCTCGCCTCCTGTAGTAAGACAGCGATTTCTACTTCATCGCCTTAAGATGACGTTTAGAATCCTTTTGCATTTCCCAGAGTTTTCCCAAAAGTTTGCCGATACAGTTCAAAACTGTTAATAATAAACTTTTCAAAATTGTTAATAATAACCTTCTCAATCTAAAACATTCTACCAAGATCACATAATATGGACAGATCTCAGAGTACTTCTGCAGGACTAAAAGATAATCAGTTGGTAATTATTTATTTGTAGAGCGGGATTATTTTGTGTAGGTAGTGCTACCTGATCTATTCAGATGGGCCTCACGCATCAGCTTTTTTCTATACCCGGTGTAATCCATTTCCAGAACAAGCGCAGACGCTGTCGCGATCTCTGTGAGAAAGGGGAGGAAAACGGAACGTGGAAGAAACGCGATGCCAGTACTCGGATCTGGAATGGGCTATGTGGACAATGAGCAATAAGTAAATGCCGTCATTTTCCCCTCACACCTTGCATCGGCTCGACATCAGAGGCTGGGGATGAGGTGGGGCAATGTGATCACAGAATGCCTCGCTCTAGGCAGTATCGTGCACGCTTTCCCACTCCTGTGTTTACATCACCAAAAAACCCTGAAAAGGCAAGACCGGCAAAAGAGGAAAACACTGAGTCAGGAAACCTTAATGGCTTGTTCCCAGGTAGTGAGTCCTCTCAGTTTCTTTTAAATTGGGCATTAAAATTCTCTTACCTTACTGGGGCAAACACAGGAGAGATGAGGTCTGATAAAGTTCTTCACACACGTTACTGATCAGTCTGAATCTATTACATTAATGGATTTAAATTAGTCCTTTGAAAAAAAAAACTTAATTACGTTGGTCTTGGAAAGTCTTATTTCGTGCATTTCTCACATTGTGGGCCCGAGTGCACAGTTTTTCTCAGTTAAAAAGAGAAAACCAAGACACAGAACAGATCTTTATATACAGTGTGTGTGTGTGTATATACTGTGTGTCTGTGTGTGTGTGTCTGTGTATATACAGTCTCTTACCAGTAATCGAGCTGCTCGGGAGCCACTCATTTACTCACCCACTTCTGCTGACTGCAGCTGTACCTCAGGTTAACCCCTTCTGGGCTTTGCCTTTGTGAAGTTAACCTGAACGGGCTCTCTGAACGAAGTCTCTTCGTTAAGGGACTAGCAGGCACCTATCTCCGCTATGCACACCTCAAATTTGTATTGCAAGACGTTTCTGGCATTTGAAATATGTGCAACACGAGCTGAAGGATATAATCAGGCTTTACAGAATTTTCCGTGACATAACAGATGAAGAATATTAAATGAGAAATGAATAAAATCCCGCATTAACTGGTAGAAAAGTTTATTATTACAGTGCACACCATTGTAACCTGAAACAGCAAGTTAAGTAAACATTATATGCACACATGCAGTTTGTTTTTTAAACAGATTTTTGAAAACTATTTGTATTGAGCTTTACATTAATGAATAACAATTTGGCATTTTAAGACTTTTTGTAAACAAACAAGAAAACCAGAGATTTTGCTGGCTTATACAAGTGAAGTGTATATACAGGGAAAGCAAAGGGGATTCATCGTAATTAGAAATGGCATCAGAAGCCCTTTTCTCTTATCTTGCATCAGGGACCATTTTTTAAGACACTAAAGAAGGGCAAGTAAACGTGAGAGACGAGCAATAAACACCGCTAAAAGACATCAATGTCACTGACGGCTCTCGGTTGTGCTTTAGTTGTTCAGAGAGAAAAAAGTTGATCCTATAACCGGCGAGCAAGCAGCCTCCTCGCAAACTGCCCTTTAAAGAACTAAGTTACTGGTTTCCTTCAGAGGATGTGAATGGAAGTCTGGGATTTGGGCAAATCCTAGTGCGGTTTAGGGGCTGAGAACGCATCTTCTGTAGCTCTACAGAAGATCTTCTAGGCGGTGCAAAACTTCAGCACGTAAAGCTTAGAAGAATGTACCTGCTGGGTCTACCAGGCGAACAGAGAAGATAAAAATGAATAGCTTTAGTTGAAAAATTTATCCTACACCGCCCTCTGGCAACAGAAATATTAAATAACATAGTTCCCCTGCTGTGAGCAGCATAAAGCTAATTAATTACACATTGCAAAAAAAGCAGCTGAGACTGTCTGGCGAGCTCTACGGGCACGGGGTGAAGCTGCCCTGCCCGCTTCCGATTCGTGACTGCCTTGGGGAACGAGTGGGAAAGCGGGTTAATTGGGAAGTGCATTCAGTGCTCTCCCAAACCCCCCAAAGTCTATTTTGTGTAGGTGTATCCTAAGTAATTAAAACCCATTAGCTGCAACAGGTGAGAGATCCAACCCAACAGACTTCACATGCAGCAGCAGTGGATGCATTATGTTCCCTCTGTTGTACAGATCCTGTACTTTTAAAATAAAGCGGTATTTTCACTTGAAAACTCCACTGCTGTCAACTTACGGCACCACTTCAAACCGTGAACAAAACATGCAAACAAGTCAATCGTGTGAGAAAGCGTTCTAAACCAATTTTATTGGAATGATACAGGGATGGTTAATATACAGGTAAAAATCCTCAATGCCTGCCTTCTACATAGGAAAAAAAAATTAAAAATCAACAAATTCAGTTCTCGCGCCCATCGTTAACCTAACACAGGTATGGGAAACAGAGAAAAAGCAACGCATTCCTAGCACTCCTAAATTCATGCAAGGTATCTGCATCAAAATGAATGCAAGTTTTACACGCAGTCCCACGACAAAGAGATATTTTCGGTATTTTTCAGTTTGTGTTGGTGCCTCGTTCCCTGGACAAAGAAATAATTCAGTCTGTCTCAACAGAGCTTTCTTAGGAATGCTGACACGGTTTGAACGCTACCATATGGCAACGGTGGGGGACCAGATGAGGGAAGTGACTTTGTTTCTTAAACTTGGCAATTTTCTTGACTGTCAGAAGCAGAGATTGACCTCGTTTCAGAATGTTTTGGGTCGCTGAACTGACAGAATTTGGCAGCGACTTTCAATTACAGCTTCTCCGAAATAATGACTGTAATTCACGAAACTTTACACCATACCTTCCTTACACAGGAAACACAGCAAATCCGCATGAGTACAGCGACTTGTGTGTCAAA